TGTCCCTAATATTATTTCCTCGTCTGGAATAATCTCAGTTATAACAATAGTCAAATGAATACAGTGTGTCTTTCCTGTTTCTTCAGGCTCTTGTCCTCGTACACACTCTCTTGCCACCTGTGCTCTTCCATGTACTGTGTTGGTGTGTGTTGTTTGAGAAGACACATCCACCTACAGGAGAAGACAGGCCAACCTTTCTCTGCCTGAGTCACAGATGGCGGACCATGGTCTCCGGCTTGACGGGAACACGGAGGTCCTGCTCTGAGCTTAAAGTCAATAAAGGCTGCGTCACATCCAGGAGCTCCACGACTAACACAACCCTCAACCCCATTATAAGATCACATCATAAGTTAAATGTAGCTCAGATATGACTAGAGAGGGGGAAATGATGACTTGTTGCTGGCTCTGAAAGATGGACCACTAAACCATTTGAGAAATTGTTTTTTTTCAACCAAACATTTAATTAACTGTGCCTTACAGTTAATATATTCAATAGGACTGATTCAAACCAGCATTTTGGGGTTTTGGTTACTTGTGGGAACATTAAGATATTTCATCTTCGACACTCACCACCTGACCTGACATATTAAGGTCCAATACTCATTTCCCTCTGAGGTACCAACTCTTAAAATATATATACAGTATGACTCTTTGGAGCTTAATCTTCAACGGCTAGTTGCTAATTTTGATAAACTGCTGTATTTTAGTTTTTTTTGCTGACATGTGACCAAAACAACACGCAGAAAAACGCTAAAATTAGAGGCAGAGGGTAATTCCCTGTGGGGTATGTCACAATGTGCGACTCATTTTTCATAAAATGTAAGAATTGGATCCATTGTTAATAATCAGCTTTGAAAGCCTTAGCTTTAGTAGAATTAAAATTGTACTTTGTATCATTAGACATCAAATATTAAAAGATTAGAGACATTAGAAGATACCAGACTTTCTTAGATTATATTGACTGAATGATATGGGTTTTGGTAGATGTCACCAAAGTTTCACATGTGTGACAGTTATTAAGGAAGGTGTGCAAAAGTCTCATTGTTGCTCTAATTCTCATTGTCAAAGTGAGTGATTTTAGAGCTGGAAACCAGATCTTTGACCTGGCAAGTCCCTTGTGATATCTGTCATCCCCCTTTCATCACTTGTTTTCCTCTCGTGTGTGGGCTTATGATCCCGCACAAACGTTTATCATGAATATTGTGCCACAATCTGTCACAGCCTGTAACACATTACCAAGGTGAAAGGTCAATAAAGAAATAACACAAAATGTGATGGAGGAAAGAGAGAGAAACAACGAGAAGGTGAGGAAAATAACTTTTTACACATTTTTTACAAAGAAACCGAGCATCTTATTTTGCCAATCCTGCTGAAAACAAAATCTGTTTAATTGTATTGTATTCATGTAAGGCTTTGTTGTATATCCAGGACTGCAGAGAAATGCTGACCTATCTCATTCAGGCTCACAACGGCAATAACTAGTATTAATTTGTTCTAGTGATCCACTCCCAATCTGTAATTCATCATCAATACAAATTCAGTCTGCATTAATCAGAGTAGGATGTCGATGGTATGCCTTCTTCAGACAAACCTAATAATAGGTATTTCATATTAATTAGAACAATCACCAACATACTATGCATGACAGCTTTGACTCCCAGATAATTTGCAAAGGATATGTTTAGTTCTGGGATGTAATGAAGCAAGCAAACTAGGGCTGCTCGATTATGGCAAAAATCATAATCTCGATTATTTGGGTCAATAATTGATATCACGATTATTAAAAAAATTATCCATTTACTTTGAAAACATCCATTTATTGAAAAAAGAAATGTGAACAGTATGTTTTTAACAGTTGATTACCCTTAACTTTAAGTATAATTCAACTGAAAAACCAATAAAACATTTTTTTTATTTCCATTATGTTGTTTTCATAATCGTTGCAAGCCAAAATCGTAATTGCGATTAAAATGCGATTAATTGAGCAGCCCTAATGCAAACTATACACATTTATTATCAGTTTGACTACCCTTTGTTTCTAACTAAGATTCATGAAAAATGTCAAGAAACACATGTTCTGTAAGTTTTCAGCGTTAGAGTTCTGTTAGTTCATTGTTTTGTGTTTTTTGTGTTTTTATTTGTGGCCTTGCATTTTATTTTGATGTTGACTCTGTCTTCTCTTTTCAGGTGTCTACACTTCCTGTCGTTGTGTGTCACCTGCCAGCTTGATTGTGGTCTCCTGCTCATGATTGTTTTCACCTGTGCCCCATTAACCGTTGTGTGTATATGTAGCCCTGTTCTCCTTTTGTCGGTTCGTCTTGTCTCTATACCAAGTCCATGTCTGTACACCCTCGTGTAAAACTTGAGCATACTAGTCAAACCTAGTGAACTATTGAGTATCCTAGAAACCTTTTTCTTTGTAAACTATTTTTGTACTATTAGTTGAACCTAGTGAACTTTTGAGTGTCCTAGTTGATCCTAAAAGCTTTTTGTATATTAAAAGGTATTTTTTGAAATCAAGAAAGAATCGTGCATCTGAGTCTTTGTGAGTCCTTCGTGTCATGTTCTAGCTAAAGAGAGCGAGTCCTTGATCTTTTCATTTACAAACATTTAGAAATGGGGTAAAATAACCATCATAATTCCCCAGGGACCAACATAAAGTCATAAAGTATCCATCGAAACCCAAAGATATTCACTTACTGTAACAACGATGCAAAACTGAGAAAAGCAGCACATTGGAAGCTGAAACTAATAGGTTTAACATTTTTAAATAGATTAATTGTTGGTGATACATTTTCTTTCATTCAACCAATTGATTAATCCACTAGAATTATTTAGAATACTTTATATCTGTCAATTGTGTGCTGCTACTTTTATTAAAGTCTACATTTTTGATTCCTTGTTCCCCATACACCTCTTAATGGTATACTATGAAAACAAACCAACATGTTTTCATAGATAATAAGTGTTATATACGATATTGCTACCTATCCTATTTGTTTGTGGTAAAGTGGTGAACAGTAAAGTAGTGAGGATGGCATCACAGGACAGTGGGTCAGTCCTGGGTTTCGAATGAGAGGAGGACCCTTACATTAGACTCATGACGACTCATTCTTTGTGACTCATCAATCATTAGCCGGAGTTTTGCTGCATTTCAGGAAGATGCTGAGTTTATACAACTTGTAAAAGTGCCCCGTGTGAGATAATAGAACAGCCATGATGATGCACCGGTGCATACAATAAAGGCATGTATATAATTTGCATCATGTGCTCAATCAACTGTACGATGTTGTTCCCTTTCTCCTCCCATCTTTCTCTCTCTCGCACACACATGAAAACACACACACACACACGCAGTGAATGGTTTGGGCACATCTCAAAGGACAGCTTCTGCATGACTTGGTCCATGGTGGAGAGGAGGGGACCTTACAGCTGTTTTGGAGCGGAATATGCCATCCACTGACAGTGTGCCACACAGGCCAAGAGCCACACACACACACACACACACACACACACACACACACAGTCACACACAGTCTACACATCATATATGTGCACTAGCTGAATACCCTCATGGTTACAGTAATTTCTCTAAACTCACATCAAAGAAAATCACTTATCTCTTATTTGCCTTAAGGCTTCTCTGCACTGTACACTAAACATGGGAGAATACACTCAGACAGAAAGAGGTATACAGCTTTGATTCACTGAGAGCTAGGACACCCCGTACATATTGACTCTTGTTATATCATTCCACTTGGGCTAAAATTAAGCATTTTTGGTGGACAAGCGCAAAACGCGAAGGGTTGGCATAACACATCCAAACGACGCATCATTAAAAAGCTATGGCGGTTTCCCCTGGGGTGTAGGTCTGACGGAGCTAGAAATCCGTACATACACTTGAGCCATTTAGTCATGGTAAAAAGAAAAAAAGCCGAGATGATTGCGGGTAAACGATAATATAAAGGCACCTAAAAGCCAACAGATGCGATAAAGTTGAAGTTGCAGCAAAGAGATATGAAGGAATTGAAGTCAAAAGCAGATAGTAATAACATCATCGCTTACGGACATGTATCACACTTAGTTATTTCATGCAATAACCATCAAAACTCACCCATTCCAAAACACGGATAAATCCCAGAGGTAATTTCAGCACATGAAACTTGCCCGCAGATGCAAGCTGCATGGGGACACAGGATAAAATGGTAATTTCTGTCACCAATTAACAACACATTGGCCAATTTAGCCCACCATCAAACACATCTCTGCGCCAAAAGCAGTCTTGCAATTTGCAGATTTACTCACCTGATTGGCGGTATCCATTTCAACAGAAGGCTTCTTTTGTTCTTACTTGTTTGATTGGATGTAAATAATGTAAAACCTCAAGCCAAGACCCAATTGATGCGTCTCCCGCGCGTAAAGTCAGGGGCTTTCGGCTCTGATTCCGAGACCAACCGGAAAAGCCCGAGTCTTCTGCGGATTTTTTATGGGGGGTGTTGTTTAGCATAGACAGGCGGGGAATGGTCTCCCCAAAGAGGAGTGACGCCTTAATTTTTTGTTATTGGAGGGAACTCATTTGTTATTTTATAAATCTGGGTCGTTATTCTTGTCTGTTATTTCAGATGCACACTCATTGCTCAAAAGAAAAAGCTAATTCAGATGAAATGCACTGCACTCTAATATGTCTCGGTAATACAATAATTTGAATTGCATTTTTTTTATTTTGGATTGAAGATAAATAAATGTTCATTGAATCTGAATCTCATTTGAATTAGTTTTATTATTTAAGTTACTTGTAGGCTGCCACAGATGCAGCTAGAGGGCAGCAATATACTATTAAACATATTAGTATTATATGTATTACAGGCAGGAACTTACATTTACAAACTCAAAATAATAGGAACTTACATTTACAAACTCAAAATAAAACGTTGATACAAAATCAATTAAAGTTATAAATAAAAAAGTAATAATTACTGTATGTATTAAAATTAGAAATTCTTGAAGTCCAAAATAACAAAGTAATATTATTCCTACAAAAAAGAAAACATCTTTCTACAGTATATTGTATCAACAATAATTAGTATGGTAAACCTTACCTTAGTCATTTATGTAACGTGTACAGTAAATAAAGTTACAGAAGTAATAGTACACTTTTTTTCTTTGATCCATAGAATCTTGTCTGAAATGCAGCAGAACCACTCGTACCACTTTGGGGTTTGTATTATGCAATCTTTGACAGCTAGGGACAAACCAGGCTCCATTCATGCAAACAAAGACACACATAAAAACACACAACCACACACACACACACACACACACACTTTATTTTGCCGCATCTACTGAGAGAGAGAGAGAGAGAGAACCTGAGTCTCTCCTGCACTCAGACATTTGAAGCAGACACGCGCTGTCATTTGAGCGGTCTCCTTTGGTGACTGAGATGAGAGAATTAAAATCCAGAGTCTGATCTCTGTCCGGGCAACAGAGCAGCATTGCCTCTGCAGGTAGGGGTAAGAACATATTAGATTTAGAATAGTATACCCTCTTACAGGACGTAGTTTTCCTTCTTATCTTTCAAAATCATTTGCATGATGCTTACAGATGAGAGTGCTGGCTGCCGCTTGGTCTTCCTCCCTACTCACACACAGTGTTTGCTTACAGTTGTTACAGCTGATGAGATCATCTTCAATACATCTGACTCTAATTATCCAAAGCAGTTGTATGTATGCAATTATTTCTAAAACTAGTTTTACTCCTGAACAGCTACATTTCACTTATATGTGACACAGAAAAGGAAACACAATGCAAGTGATACAGTTTTTGCCATACTTTAACAACTGACTGTTTCTTTTAAGCTTTACATTTCACGTTCATGTAGCTGGTTTTACAACACGCCATAATACTGAACTGGACTGTGGCAAATACAAATAAAAATAATAATATACAATATCAATAAATATAGAAAACAACTTTACAGTACAACATAGACACTATGTCACGAGTTAACAGATAAGGTACAACCATTGTGAATGTTATTCTGATGCACAATTGAATTTAAATGGTTGATCGGTTATCAGTTTTATCTTTTTTTTATGCCACACAATACAATTCTTAAGGTTCATATTAATGATTACGAGAGGTAATGAAAACAGAAGAAATGGAAAATAGTATCTTAATGATCAGCACATATGAAGTTTAGTAATGAACAACTTCAGACAGGCAGCACTTGAAGTCCTCCAGTGTTCTGAAGCATGAAGACTCATTGGGACTCTGTAGAATACAGTCAGCCCTACGTTGTCTGTATATGTTTGTATTTCTTTATCTAATGGGCCTCTGTGTGTGTGCATTTATTGGAGCTAGAGCCAGGTAACTGTTAGCCTAGCTTAGCATTAGGAATGAATGAAACTATACAGCTAGCTTGGGTCTGTCAAAGGTTCAATAATACACCAATCAGCACCTCTAACGCTATCTTTTAAATATGTTGTAATATAATAAATATATTTTATACCTTGATGGAATACATTATTTTTTAAACAAGGTGTATTTTTGATCTTTGAAATGGAACCAGGCTAATCTGCTCTCAGTTTTTATGCTAAGCTTTCACCTCCTTACATCTACTCAACTAACTTTTGGCAAGAAAGCGAAAGAGCTTTCCTAAAGTTCTTGTATGGCTATATATTAGACAACATTGAAATTTGCTTCAAGAACAAAAACGGAATCTGTAGTGTACCGCAATTGCAATTCAAAAAAGCCAAACTTTGAAAAAAAGGTTCTGGTATTGGGACCAAACTTCATGGAGCTAGTATCCAAACATTTGAAAAGATATGTAGCCTTAGTCGTTATGACTCTGGACTGTACGCAACATGCAACATCATTGCGTCTGCTCTGCAGGACTTTGACTCGTGGACAGTTTGACTCCGTGTACTTTCCGCATGTGCCTCTTCATCAGCAGCCTCTCTGTAAATAACTCGTCACAATCCCCACATTTGTACGGTCTCTCTTCTTTATGTTTGGCTAAAACGTGTTTTCTCAAAGTCGAACCTCTGTTGAAGGATTTGTCACAGATGTGACAGCTGAAAGGCTTCTCTCCTGTGTGAGTTCTTATATGTTCCGTCATGTGTCCTTTCAGTTTAAAACACTTGCCACAGAAATGGCAGCTGTAGGGTCTCTCTCCGGTGTGCACTCTCATGTGGTTCTGCAGATTGCTCTGACAGGGTATGTGTTTGCCACATATGTGACAGTCAAAGTTCCCCTTGCTGTCATGTGACTTGCTTTCGTGCGTCTTGAGGTGCCAGGTAAGCACACTTTTCTTGGTGAATATGTAGTTGCATATGTGGCAGCGGTACAAGGTGGTGCTGGTCTTCTCTTGAGAGGGTTCTGGACCCTCTGCAGGGGCCGGCTCTGACTCTCTGCCCTCCTCTGCGGCTCTGCAGTCTTCTAACTGTTGCACCGTTTTTATGAGTTCTTTCGTCAAGGCGTCGCCGTCATCGCTCTCGTCTGCTGAAGGTGGCTCGTTGATCCCGTTGATCCACAGTTCCTCTTTCTGCTGCTCTTCCTCCTCTTTAATCTGGGAGGGTCCCGGTTCATCCTGGCACACCCCGAGGATCCACTCCGGCTGTCTGGGTAGTGTCTCCTCAGAAGGTGGCAGTGTAGTTGGCTGTTTGGTATCTGCAAGGGAGGAAATGGAAACACATTACACTCTCAGCACGCATCAAGGTTGCCACTGCAAAAATAGTGATGCCATGAATCCACACCATTCTGGACTTTTACCTTTGAGATCAGCTGCCTCAGAGCCACATCAACTTCATGAAGGGAGAAAACAGTCAAGAGTGAAAAACCACAGAAGAGGCCCAAAATGAAGGCCTTTTTTTCTTGTGTTACACCAAAACAATCAATTACTTTTTTAAGTTCAGGAGCCATTCAAAGGATGTGATGTTTCTGGTTACATAAAATGTGTTGCCTTGAAACCCCCTTCTAGCGTTCTCAGTCACATGCCAAAAAAGCTTTTGATCTTCTTAGCACACAGTTTTCACCCACACGTAATTTTGCTCAAACTAACAAAAAGTGTTTTAACAGTCAGTCTTTATTCTCAACAAACAGACAGACAATCTAGTACAAGCATGGTACACACAGAGTTTGTGAAAGCTAGTAAAGTATATGTAATCTGTAAAGCTGAAACATTGTCCAATACATTCATCGAGCACAGAGCACATGTATCTTCAACACAGTCCTGCTGCATTGAAGCTTTGCTATAGCCGGCATAGTATCAATGTTTTGTTAAGGCAACAGAAACAAATGAATTATAATCAATTAGCAAATGCATTTCAGGGTCTTCTATTATTAAAGTATGTTTAAACAATCAAGCAAACTATTTATATCAAACCTTAAATACAGGTTACTGCAAATCGAACTATGAAATCATAATTCAATTTAAAAAAAGCACATCAACAGTCTCATCAAACATATTGGTCTTCAAAAACTTTGGCCGGACTGTTTGATTATTGAACAGCAAGTTAAAGAAAGCAACAGAACTAAAGATATTCTGTTTAATAACACTCCATTACCCACAATGCAACTCTATGCTTTGACAGTGAGGTCAGGAATTTGGATGTTTGATGCTGGTAGCAGCCTTGAGCCTTAAGCAGATGCATGGGGAGAAGGCAACAGACACTTTCCAACTCTGCAGTCTTAAGTCACTGGAGGTGATTTATCAAAATGTACACTGCTCACTCTGGAGGCTAAAGGTTTCTTCTTCCCAACCTTCAAACAGACTTAAGCAAAACCTTCAAAGTCAATTAATACCGTCCCGAGGACATCTTTGGTTAAAGTTTCAAGTCCATTGCACACATGTCAACAATCAGCATCCATGTTGATGCGACCAGCAGCTTGCTCACTAGCATCTGTAACCACACCCGAATGTCATGTCACTTTTCTATTTCATTTGAGCCTTATAATTTAAATTAAAAAAGGATCCTCATCAAAAGGTTTGCTTTAATTCAAAAAATGAACATCAATATATATTTGCTCTTCCCTTCAGAAAACACACGAACAGCGTGTGCAAAAAGCTTATTTTGATTGATAATAAGAGCACTTTAGATTCATTTTGTTTTACCACTAGTAACTTCTGAACTTTTACAGTCAGCTACAGAATTTCACACAGAGATATTGACCAAGTGGACCTTCTTCATGTGCCGTTTGAACATAACGAGCACAGGAAAGCGCTGGCTGCATTGCATGCACTTGAAAGGCATGCTCTCCCTGTGTTGGATCCGGGCGTGTTTAGTCATGTTGGAAGATCTGTTGAAGCTCTTCCCGCAGGTGAAGCAGGGGTAAGGCCGTTCTCCAGTGTGAGTCCTCACGTGTTCTTTTATATGACTTTTCAGCTTGTATCCCTTCCCACAAATGGGACAGGGGTATGGTTTCTCGTCTGTGTGCGTTATCATGTGGGGGATCGCTTCACTCCTGTTGTCGCTGGACGTTGGGGAACTTGTTGTTGCATGAGCTGCGAGGTGCAATTGTAACTCTTCTTGTCTCAGGAAATACTGACGGCAAATTTTACACAAAAAAAAGGGTCTCTTAGTTGTATATAGCGGAGATACTCCAAAGGACGGTAACGGTTGGTCATCCTGTGAAGGCATGTCATAATCCATGTGCTCTCCGACTGTTACAGCTCGACTCAGGCTGTCTGGCATTTCGTATTGGCTGTGCTCTGCAAATCTCACAACTTGAATTAAATTGTCTGGCATCTGATTTTCTTCATGCTCTCCTTCTGTGACCCTCTCAGTGAGGCTGTCAGTAGTGCTGCTGTACGCCGGATGTAATGGTGAGTCCACAGCCTCGGTCAGTTCCTCTTTAATGGGCAGGTTTCTTTGCTGCTCCTGAGCAAAAACCTCCTGTGTCGGTGTGGGCAGTTCGATCTGCCTTGAATCTGTAACAGTGGATAGGAAAATGATTTTGGTAGCAGCTTAAAAAAATCACTTCTCTGATCACACAAGCTATATTGGTGGACTTGATTAATCCCAAGGCGTGGTGCTCGTCCTTACAGCAGCAGAGACATATAATTCAAGTTATGGTTTTAAAACAGTGAGCAGGAACGTCTATAAAAACATTACAAGACACAGAGTACATGTCTGTGATTCACTAGTTTACTGGACATTTGCATTATGGGCCATTCATAACATATACAGGTGAACAACTGATGAAAGAAACAGCCACTTTATCTTTAAATACTTTTTTTTTAAAAACGAATCTGCAAACCAAAATAAATTATTTGCAGGAATTTCTGTTTTATTTTAATGCATTTGCTGTTCCAAATACTTGTGTTTTCCTTACAGTGATTGTATATAAGCACTAACGTAAGTCCATGAATACAATATGAGATTCTTCCTCTGTGTTTCACTTCTTGCTTTTCAAAGAATGTTTTCTTTGTGCGCCCCATGGTGTTCAAGAGAATACTGCAATGAACAACACAATGTATCTGTGTGTGCTTGTAGCTTTTTGAACATATCTGCAGAAACAAAGGTTCATGAGAACTTAGTTCATGAGAACTCTTTAGTTCTGATGAACTAAGTACAGATCGCGTTCACACCGGAATAAGTCCCTGGGGGAGGATTAGTCAAATGAAGCCGCTGGACGTCACCTTCTTCTTCTTCAGCTTTGGGTTTACTGGCAGGCCGCAAACAACTTCACGGACGTATACTGACCACCCCGAAAGTCCCCGGCCGGAAGTTCCCCGGATTGGGGACTGGCTTCAGTAGAAGCTGCTGGGACTCCCAGCAGCTTCTACTGAAGCCTTCCGAGTAAATCTCCAGAACGCCGACACCTCCTCATCTCCACCGCTCCCATGGCTTATTTTGTGTTGCCATAAGTTATTCTCTCTGCGTTTCTGCGCTGGGCTAATGCTAATGCTAATAATGCTAATGCTAGGATAATAAAATGACGGCTTCACAAAACCTTTTTGAGTTTTACGGGGGCGTGGTTTGCAATCCGCCCAGCCAATCAGAAATAGGAACCTTTTTCTCCCACGAAAGTCCCTGCTCTCTAGCAGGGACGGAAAAGGGGGTAAAAAGGTTCTCATAACAAATTTTAGTTCCGGCTATTTTTGGTGTGAACGCGACATTTCGGAACTAAAGTGGGAAAAGTACTGCGGTGTGAACGCGGCTATTGAGACAGTAGGTCGTGTGAGCTGGTGAAAGCACATTCGTCTACTCTGTACTGCACACCTGAGATTTTTCCCATCTGAAGAAAGCTCTCAATTAGGCCTCTTTATTATTCATAGATAGTAAGCGTAAGGTAATGTACTTTATTAAAGGAATCAAAGTGATCATTCAATACACAGGAGGAACACATCATAGTAAGCATCTGAGCAAATGATAACAACCCCCAGATCCACACTCAAAAAGGCATTACAAATTGTATCTGTATAAAACTGCTGTCACATTATTCGCCCTCTCTATTATAAGTGGTTTTAATGCAGATTATTTACTTCTCCTACAAGGTGTCGCACAATCACACGGCATAGAAAAATGTACTACTAAGCGTTGCTTGCACTCCAGATTGACATCGTATGGTAGAGGGGAATAACTTTCCTGTGTTGACAACTTGTGAGCAACAATTCTGATCACTCCAATATGACATGAACCTAAGATAACTCTTGTTTGGCTGATACATCAACAATAATTTGGCAAATGTAAGCTCTATTTAACACACAATCCCAGGTGTGATTCAATACTGTGAAGCTTTGTTTCACTCTTCGGGTCAATGACTTGAACTTCTCTCAACACAACCCCAACATGCTTTTTTTCCAGCCACGACTAGGTTGGCAGAGAGGTGCAAACGGCCTAAAACATTCCCATTAGGAGTAACGTGCTGCAGCTTCTAGAAACAATGAAAATATAAAAACACATAAATATGCATATACACATGCAAATGGTAAATGTTTTTGCTGCACATGTGTTGTCAAGTTGGTGAAGACTTTTCTTAATTTCCAGGTGTTTTGGCACATTTGTGTTAATATTTGCATTGTTTCTGCAGCTGTACTACATTTCTCCTAGTTGAAAAGTGTTGGGCCGTTGTAGCCAGTTTGCACCTGTCGGCCACCGTAAACTCCTCATGAAAATGAGCAGGAAGTACATGGCCACAGGTTAGAATTAAAAACAGGAAATCACAAAAGAGAAATGCAATTTCAATAAGCGACATCATATAAGGGACACATTCCTGGAAGAAAACAATGTGACAAACAATGAATGTAAGCATTGACGAACCATTGTTGTTCATTTTCTTACTTGCAAGAGTAGCGTTGCCATTGGTGACGGTGTCAAGGCCATTCAGGCTCAGGATGGCCATATTACTGGGCTCTTCTCAAGGTGTTTTTCATGTTATTTGCTACACCAGATCATTTGAAAATGTTCTACAATCTAAGGGTTCATAATCCCCCTGCCTAAATATGACCTCTTTAACAAGACTATAAGTGGGGTTTGATTTCATACAATTGGTTATTGTTAGATCGGTACAATTTAACACAATTTGACCATGGTATCCCTCAAATATACAAATATACTTGTTTTATATGCAGTACATAAATCCATATAAATCATTTTGACTTGCACTTCAGGGCCACCGTATACATATTCTGAAATGCTGTGGTGCTTTGTGAAATGCTGTGGTGTTTTCTGAAATGCTGTAGTGTTTTGTGAAATGCTGTGGTGTTTTGTGAAATGCTGTGGTGTTTTGTGAAATGCTGTGGTGTTTTGTGAAATGCTGTAGTGTTTTCTGAAATGCTGTGGTGTTTTGTGAAATGCTGTAGTGTTTTCTGAAATGCTGTGGTGTTTTCTGAAATGCTGTAGTGTTTTGTGAAATGTTGTTTTAACTTGCACTTCAGGGCCACCGTACATCTTTCTACGACCAATAATTATAATTGCCCGTATAAAATATTTTATCATACTAGGCCTACATGTAAATTGACCGGATATTTACTCTCTTGACTCTCTTCAGCTGGAGAACAGTAATGCTAGCTAAAACTGCTTGCTAACATAATGTAGCTTAATGTAGCAAATACAAAGCACGTAAGACTGTAAACGGTGTTAGCTTCTGTGCTTTAATTAACGTTACTGGACAATTACCATGATAGCGCATAGTAAGGTTAGGTGCACACTGAGAAACATACCTGTTCTGTGCAGCCTTATCTCCGGCTTGTAGACCAGATCCAGCAGCCTCTGCAGCCTCTGGTTCTCCAGCTTGGTTTGGTACACTTCATCCTGGTAGTCCACGATGGTCTTCTCCACGAACCCGTAGATGTCCACTGCAGCTGCGGTTAACCTCTCCGTGAGAAAGACATTGAACGACTGGAGCGTAGCGTTAGCCATTTTATGATAACCTGACTGTCAGCTCTCTGTTGCGTGCACCAAGCCCCCAGGAAGTGCGCCGCACTCGGGTGAAAATATTCTTCTTCTTCTTCTTCTCTTGCTTTTGGCGGATTGCAAACAACTTAAAAGGTGCATACCGCCACCTACTGTACATGAGTATGAATCATCACATCATTCCAACTCTTTCACTTATGCTCTAATCAAAATAAAATAAAAATAAATCAATCAATCAATAAAACCATGAAATAAATAAAACAAAAAACAAATCTATGTTCTTTCCTGACCTAATGTTAAATTATTTTTCCTACCCCAGTTTCACTCAAGAATTTAAACAGTGCCTTTCTGGTAGCTCTTACTCCCTCTCCTTTTGTTCCCAAAACACCAACCACACTCCCTCTCTGCCTCTAAGACTTTAGCCTTTAATTGTTCTCTTTCCGCTTTATAGATGTCACAATGTAACAATATATGTTCTACATCTTCTTTTACTGCATAGTTCCCACACTTGTTACTGTCACTTTGTGATTTATTCGTAGTCTAGCCATCATGATTTCCTCCCTTCTGTTTCTTTCTTTATGAATATTAATTGTAATTGTCTTTTGTACTTTGTGATAGTCCTTGCCTTTCTGGTCTTTCTCCCACCTTTTCTGCCAGATCTCCATCCCTTTCTTCTTAATTACTGCTTTTCCTTCTCCTTTTACAAGTTGAACTGGTAATGTTATTTGCTTTTGTAGTGCACTTTTTGCTAATTTATCAGCACACTCGTTCCCTTTCACCCTCTCATGCAGGCACCCAGCAGAACTGTAGATCTATGCCGCTTCTGTGCAGTCTTAACAGGCTATGATTCAGTTCTGAGAATGTCTTCTCTAGTAGTTGTTGTTGATTGTATGCTTTGTAATATGGACAATGAATCTGTACATATAACCACCCTATCTGGTCTGACCTCTTCAACCCACTGCAATCCTATTATTACAGCAAGCATTTCTGCTGTATACACTGATAATTGATCAGACGCTCTTTTTAAAATAGATATTTTAAAGTCTGGGATGTATATGCCAACTCCAACACACTCTTCCTTGTTCTTAGAACCATCTGTATACATTTTTAGGTAGTAGTACTTTTCGTTCAGATACATACTTGTTTTAATTCCCACTTCATTTATTTGCCACTCTTTTTTCCTTTCTATGATACTCATATCTATTTTAGCTTCTGGGAACAGCCATGGGGGAACACTGCTAAATGGGGTCGCTTTGACAAACGTGATATTCTCCACTCCATATGCCCTCGTTCTTTCCTTACTTGTCCAGCCAAACCCACGTCCCTGGAATTTTGCATATTCCCAGCAATCCTGTAATATTCTGTTTTAAATATTTTCTTCTCCACTTCTTTGTAGTCTGACCCAGTATGACGGAGCAAGTTTCTCTATTCTGATCTCCAGCGGTGTCTCTCCTGCTTCTATCAGAACTGCATTGATATATCAATGCAGATGACTTTATCGCTCCAATACACAGCCGCAATGCTTTATATTGTATTCTATCTATTTTTAAAAGCGATGTTTTTGCTGCTGCTCCATACACTATACAACCATAGTCTATTGTGGACCTCATAATTGATCTGTAAATGTCTATTAATGCTTGTTTATCTGCGCCCCAGTTGCATCCAGCTACAGCTCGCAATAAATGTAATACTTTTTTGCATTTTGTTTCCACTTGATTAATATGCATTTTCCATGTATATTTGCTATCAAACCACGGTCCTTGAACTCATTCACCTTTCTCATTGGACGATCATATAGTGTTAGCTGTTGGCCATCAATCTTGCGTTTGTTTGTAAATACTGTACCATGTAGCATGACTTGCTTTCTGACATTTTGAATCCCCAGTTACATGACCACCTCTCCACTTTTGTAATCGCTCTAGCTGTATTCTCCATTACGTATGGGGCATTTCTTCCCCTCATCCAAATAGCCCCATCATCTGCGTACAGAGCCGATTGTATGCATGTGTCTAAGCATGAAAATATATCATTAATCATGATGTTAAATAACATTGGACTAACTGCACTCCCTTGGGGAATACCATTTCCTATTTCAAAATAATTGGAAATATCTGCTCCAACCTTTACTCTAAATGTCCTGTCTGTTAAAAAGGCCCTTACCCAATTGTACATTCTCCCTCAAATTCCCATTCTACCCAATTTGATCAGTAGCCCATCCCTCCACATAGAGTCATACGCCTTTTCAATGTCAAAGTACACTATTGCCATTATCTCTTTCATTTTCAATGTTTTTTCCACATCGTTACTCACTCTTACGCATCTATTGTGGACCGCCCTTTACGAAATCCGCTCTGAAAACTACTCAGCAGCCCTTTCTGTTCCAGTACATGTGAGAGCCGACGGACAATGATCTTTTCCATCCATAGGTGTGATGTAAGAGCTATTGGTCTGTAGTTGGTTAGCTGTATCTTTCCCTGGCTTATTGAATGGTAGCACGATTGCTGTTTTCCACAAACTTGGCATATCTCCTTCTCTCCAGATTTTATTGAAAAGACTCAGCACCATTTTCATAGTTTCCATAGGTAACTGTCTAAACATAGCATAGCATAGCTGGTCTTGTCCTGGGGCTGTATATCCTGTACCTTGTAAGGCTATTTTGAGTTCTGACATTGTAAATTCCACATCCAGAGCTGACCTATTATCCTGTCTCTTCTCCTTCACGTTTTCATTCTCTGCTAGTAGCTGCTGTGTTTGCTGCCTATGGATATCACTGAGATGCTCCCCACTATGTACTGCTGCAAGTGTCCTTCCTAACATATCTGCCTTCTCTTTTTCTGTCACTGCCAGCCTCTCCCCATCAACCAAGGCTAGAATTTTAATAGATTTCCTTTTCCCACTCATCCGCTTAAACATGGACCAGACATCACCTAATTTAACTCCTCTGCCAATGGTAGAACACAATTCTCTCCATGTTCTCTTTTTTGTATATTTTATTGCCCTTCGAGCGGGTGAAAATATTCGTTGTCTCCAAACGGCGGTACTACAATTTCGGTATCAGTCCGTGACGTCACTGGGCCCAGAAAGACTTTCCCCATTGACTAACATTGGGAAAGAGACGTCTGTAAATTAGCGGATACTTTTTTTTTTACCTAAATAAACTACCCAGTATGAACTATTTTATAGCCCTTATTATAATCATTAGGTCCTTAAAGTTGTAAAATGCACTAAAAGCCGAATCTAGATGTATTTTCTGTCTCCATTCATTCTACTGAGCTGGTGTGCACTGTGGACCAGCCTTTAATATAAAATGTAACGAGAGTCATACCGCCCCCCTATTGTACTGGACTGTGTATTACTGTAGTATCCTGTAAATACAAAACTGTGTGTAATATCGACTCTTGCAATATACCCTTGTGCAATGTACACTTGATTTTTATTTCACTGTATTGGAAATATGAAAACAGTACCAGCTACTTACATGGTCACAAAATATATACTTCTACTTAGTTTTTTTACCATGGTGTATCTGTTATTTTTTACTTATTGGATTTATTTACATATTTATATAATATGTAAGTCTAGTCTGTTTACTTAATCGGTACTATACTTTAGCTGATGTAATACCGAACATTTTGACCAACACATAGGAATTCTGATTCCGATTCTGTCTAATTCTAATTCGAAAGATTGCAGTGCATATTTATATTTTGAAGCTAATCAACACATTAGATTTCACCTGACTTCCCTTTCTGGGCTAAACACTATTAAGTTGAACATCTTAACGTTTGTAAGGCATCACTATAATGTCTAAGGTAAAATTGTATTCATATTTTCAGACAAATAGGCTTTAGTATGCTCAGAAATTATTATTTTTTTTGTGATGAAGACAGACTTTTGTAGTTAGGAATCAATCCTGAGGTTGCCTGCTTCACCAACAGTGTTATGTTCAATATTCACATAACATAAGAAGACGTCCTAAAAATATGTATTATTTATTTGTACTTTAAAGTAAAACAATTCTGCCTTGATTTTGAGTAAAAGAGTCACATGATATAAAAGCTACCGGAAAAATTGAGACTTTAGACTATCTTTCCTTAAAATATTAAAATAAAAAACAACAACACTTAAACAGGAATACTACGGTATGTTAAAGATTTCAAAAAATGTGTTGACATTTGCCTTGAAGAGGTCCCTGGTGGTCTAGTGGTTAGGATTCGGCGCTCTCACCGCCGCGGCCCGGGTTCGATTCCCGGTCAGGGAACACTGTTTATGCCCGGTGAACAACTTCAGGAATAAACGACTAAATAAATATTGAAATGATCCATTCATCCATCCATCCATCTTCTCTCGCTTATCCGTGGTCGGGTCGCGGAGGTAGCAGTTCCAGCAGAGAGCCCCAAACTTTCTTTTCCCTGGCGACATCAACCAGCTCTGACTGGGGGATCCCAAGGCGCTCCCAGGCCAGCGAAGAGATATAATCCCTCCACCTGGTCCTAGGTCTACCCCTCGGTCTCTTCCCAGCTGGACGTGCCTGGAACACCTCCCTAGGGAGGCGCCCAGGTGGCATCCTAACTAGGTGCCCGAATCACCTCAACTGGCTCCGTTCGACGCAAAGGAGGAGCGGTTCAACTCCGAGTCCCTCCCGGATGACCGAACTTCTCACCTTATCCCTAAGGGAGACACCAGCCACCCCGCGGAGAAACCCCATCTTGGTACCCGCGATCTCGTTCTTTCGGTCATGACCCATCCCTCATGACCATAGGTGAGGGTAGGAACGAAAATGGCCCGGTAGACAGAGAGCTTTGCCTTCTGGCTCAGCTCCCTTTTCGTCACAACGGTGCGGTAAAGCGATCGCAGTACCGCTCCCGCTGCTCCGATTCTCCGAAATTGAATTGAAATTAATGAATGTATAAATAAATACAAGTTGAGAATAAAACAGAACACATATTTTCTATATTTCTATATTTACGTTCACAAAAGGCTACCAGGGCATCTGGAGTCAGGTTTCTTTAATATGTCCTTAGAAACAATGGAATTAAGCCTCGGTACCTTTCCAACTTCAGGTTTTTTTTTTCCCATGTAAAGAAAAACTTCCATTCAAAAAGGTTATCTCATTTTGAATCCATAATTTGCCTGTGGCTGAGAGTAAGAGCTGTTGTCTTTGAGTCAGAAGGTGGTGGGTTCAATCCCAGCCGTGCAGCCATCGTGTTGATTTCTCCCAGTGTGCAGTTTGCTGCTTGTTAAATGTGTGTGTTATCTCACTGCTATAGTGGAGAAGAGCTTCAAAATCTAAAAACCTGTTAGAAATCCCATCCCTTAAACCCCTGTCACTGAATTTTAGGTAGTAGCAACACCTTTAATAGCAACACCATTTTTGACGCTAATAAACATTTATATCAGGCTCTTGAAGGCTCTGAAGAGAAGTGTAGGCCTACTTCTTGCGCCAAATACATCAATACAAGTAAATCAAAGTTTATTTAATTAGCCCAATATCACAAATTGTACTTTCGTCTCAGGGGGCTTTACAGTTTATACAGAACATGAATACGCCGGAAATTCCCAGTGCTGTAAGCTTTTAAAAATATGTATTGAAGAGAGAAGAGCCACTTTGTGTACAACTTGACACATAGCTCCCAAATGAAAGTGTGACTGGTCACAGAAAGTAAAAGAAAATCTTATAGCAACTCAAAGATATTGTTAAAGACACGTGCACTTGTTGAACGTTCAGAGCAATTGAAAGTACATTTGTTATAAATGTTGTTGTATCCACAGAATACAAGGCTACCAAGCAGAACAACATTCTGTGAAAATGAAAATGAATTAATGAATATATTTATATCAGGGAAAATAAATGTAGAAATTCATTAAATAGCCTACTAGAGAATGCAATTCCTGAAGAAATTGCTATGGGAATGCTTTATGCTGAAAATGTGACGCTAAACTGCTATGCTGAAATGTAATGTGTAAGAAGAAAGTGAAGAATTTAGATTAAAATGAAATGTGTAAGAAGAAAGTGAAGAATTTAGATTGAAATGAAATGTGTAAGAAGAAAGTGGCGAATTTAGATTGAAATGATAAATGAACACTGGGGGCTTGAATATGTGATAAGAGAAGAAAATAAAGTAAAAAGGCTTGGAAAAGCAGCAGAATATTTGAACTGCAAACTTCTGAACTAACTTGATGGCGAATGATCTGTCGCCATGGCAACGACATTTGATGACACCCCATAATACGCTTAGATGCGTTGATGGCTGCATCGTTACCAAACCTGTGAAG